TCTCGCTGAAGAAAAGGTGTCAGTTTGTTCTGACCTATTTTGACTACAAAACAGATGGTTTTCTGTTTTACCTTTTTGCTGGAAGTGGTTTCATGTTTTACAGCCTTGAAATATTTTTCTATTCCCTATTATAAAAACAATCCCTTACACAGTGCTAAAGTTTTTTGTAACATTTTATATTGGCCAGTAGTCCAACTGACTCTAAATTTTATATGCTGCTTTTCCTAGCCTGCAAGCTCTTTGAAGGGAAACCACTAAAAAAAAATTCCTTGTGCTGCATGTGCTCAGTATCACTTGATTCCTTATGCATATAATTACAGCTTCATAGATTCTATTCAGTTCAGGTAGCACAAAGATAACCAAGAACAGATTGTGACCGCTGCCTTTTTAAGATAATTTTTGAGTTATTACTGTCTGTCATTTAATATGTAGCCCCATTTCAGATTCACATTCCCTTTTTTAAATGTCATGCGTTAAGTTTTATATCTTTTTGGGCAAAAGCTATATAACTAATGTTAAAGCTTGACTTACAATTTGAATGTGTTTTTGAACAAAAAGAAATCCTATGAGGTGAATTAAGGGGGTATTCCACCTTACTGTTAACTTACCTGGATTTCTTAGGAATGAATATATGAAAAATTTACCTTGGAGTCAGAAGTGACCCAAGCAGGGTGCAAGTCAGACCATGCGGGGCCTCGTCCCCGCTCCGATCCCAGGCCCTGGACCTGAAGAAGCCACTGTCGCATAGCGGCATCGGTGTCAGGGGAGGGGTAGCGATCGGCTGGATGCGGAGCTACCGCTCTGCCCAGCTTCATGCCACCACTGCTCCACCTGGCTCCACAAGGCCCGGGGCAGTCGCCCCAGTTCCCCCCTGCCTTCCCTTCTCTTCCCTTCCCTTCCCGCCCCTCCTCCCCCCTCTCCCCCCCCCCCCCCCCCAGCCTCCCTGCTTGAAGTACAGGGATAAGTCTTACTGTATCTTAACAGTTCTATGGTAACAGCTCATGTGCTTTTTTACCCATAGTAGGTGTAAGCTAACTTGTAGTAAGTTACTTCCTTCCTTTAAAAGCCAACCTATTTCCATTTTTAGCTTCAGCAAATCCTGGGGTAAAACTGTACATGGGCCGTTGCTATGAAGCGGCAACTGCCCTGTCTCCCCTGCTTCTTCCTCCTTTCCCTCCACACCGTAAATTGTTTGTATATAAATACCATTAGTATATAAGATTGTTACATAAACTAGTTGTGTGCTCGCTCTCATACTTGCTCTCTTTTAATAGAGGAGGTTTTAGAATAAATAAATTAATTTAAACCGTAGGAAGTTACTTAGCTAAATTAAACCTGACGTTGTTCACCTGAGAGTTCTGAAGAAGCTCAGATGTGAAATTCCTAAACTGTTGCCAGTGATACCTAACCTATTATTACAAACTGCCTCTGTGCCAGCAGACTGATGGCTTGCTAACATAATATAATACTTAGCTTCCAAAAGGGCTCTAGAAATGATCCTGGTAGCTGCAACCTAGTGAATTTTACTTTTATTTGTGGAAATTGGTAGAATCTATAATAAAAGCAAATATCAGCAGTCATATAAATATATCTTGGAAAAGAGTCAGGATGGTTTTTGTGAAGGGAAATAATTCCTCACCAATCTTCTGGAGTTCTTTTGAAAGTGTTAATAAGCATGTGGAGAAGGGAGATCCAGTTGATACATTTTTGGATTTCCAAAAAGCTTTTGACAAACCCCTTCACCTGTGTGTCAAAAAAAAAAAAAAAAAAAAAAGACAAAAAACCCCCCTACGATGTCATGGGATTGGAGGGAAGATCCTTTCATGGATCAAAAGCTGGTTAAAAGATAAGAAACAAAGCATAGGAGAAAGGTCAGTAGTGGAGTACTCCAAGGATCTGTGCTGGGTCCAGTCTTGGTCAACATTTTTATAAATTCACCTGGAACAGGGAGTCCACAGTAAAATTTGTAGCTGATACTATATTATTCCAGGTAGTCAGATCCCAAGCTCATGGTCAGGAGTTGCAGAAAAATCTCTCAAAGTTAAGTGAGTGGGCAAAATAGTGGCATGTTAACTTCATTGTTGATAATGTCAACTGTACATACATAGTGTTGGGCTCTGAACTAGCTGTTATGACATAGGAAGCAGACCTTGGAGTCACTGTAGACAGTTCTCTGAAAATACAAGCATGTAGCAACCAAAAAAGCTAATAAAATACTGGGTATCATTAAGAAGGGAATTAATTAAAAAGGAAAATATGCTACTGTCAAATCCATGGTAGAACCATATCTTGAATGCTGTGTGCAATTCTGGTCTCCCCTTCTCAGAAAGAATGTATTGGAATTAGAAAAGGTATAGAGAAGGGCAAAGATGATAAGGGTTGTAGAACAGCTGCCATCCCACAAGGTACTGAAAAGGCAACGACTCTTCAGTTTGGCATGGAAAGCTAAGGGAGGATACAAGGTCTGTTCAACAAGTATCTGAGCATGTATTTGTGGTACAAGGTATTGGGTGGGGGGCATGGCTTTGCTGAATGTTTTCCCCAGTTGTCTGTGGCCAGCAGTTGAAGTAAGATCGTTTGTGTCTTGTGTCCCCTTTCGTTATGTCAGAGTGTCCAGAACAAGGCATGTGCGTTAAATGTTGCATGAAAATCGGGGAAATGGCAAGTGAAACATTAGAATTACTTACTTAAAATAGCATTTGGTAATGACACTATGAGCCATGCAAGAGTTTTTGAATGGTATCAGTTGAAAGTGATGAGCATTCTGGACACTTTTCAACATCACAAAATGATGAAAATGTGGCAGTGGTTTGCAGTTTGGTTCGAAATGATAGGTGATTGACTGTCCGAGAGATAGCAGAAGAAGTTGTATTTCTGTTGGTTCGCGTCATTCAAGTCTAACTAGCGATTTGGGAATGAAATGACCAGAGAAGTGGGTGTCTGACTCTTGGATGCTTCACCATGACAACGTGCCTGCCCACTCAGCACAGCTTGTGAAACAATTTTTAGCCAAATTTTAGCCAAACACTGTATCCTATAAGTGTTGCAGCCTCCGTATTCACCTGATATGGCCCCATGCAAATTTTTTCTCTTCCTTCAACTAAAGAAAACCTTGAAAGGAAGAAGACTTTGTGATGTAGAAACCATAAAACAAAATGCCACTGAGCAGCTTTTAGCAGTTCTACAGATTTGCTTATCAGAGGTGTTTCCAACAATGGCAGAAATGCTGGAAGAAGCGTGTGGCTGCAGAAGGAGCATACTTCAAAGGAGATTATGCTAAATCCCCTGTAAATGAAATATTTTGTTTCTTACAACATCAGTTTCAATACTTTCTGAACAGCCCTCATATGCGAGGTCTATAAAATGGTGAAGGGTGAGAATAAAGTGAATAGGGAATGGTTATTCACCAAATCCCAGAACATGGGAACAAGTGGGTATCCATTGAAATTAATAGAAGGCAAGTGTAAAAAAAAAAATACCTTTTTTTTTTTTTTTACCCAGCTCACAGTTCACCTGTTGAACTGGCTGCTGCTGGAGGTTGTAGAGACAGACAGTATAGCCAGGTTCAAAAAAGGATTAGACAGATTCTTAGAGAACAGGTCTTTTGAGAACTGTTAAATAGATCAGTCAGGAATGTATCATCTTACATCCTTAAACCAGTGCTGGTTGATGCCAGGGAGCATAGGATGGGGATCCAATACATTAAACATGTCCTGTATGCTCAACCCTTTGAGCCCCATGGGCTAGATGAGTGGTGTGGAGCCATTCTGCAAGCTGGATCCTTCAAAGGGTCAGAGCCTGTGCTGTTCTGACCCAGCCCCATGCATCTGGATTGGGCCCCTTGTTGCCCCAGGCCTATGCACTTTATAGCATGGCCCTTCACACTAGCTGGCCCACCAGGGTCCCTGTGGGTCTTGAAATTTGGCAGCACAGGAGTGGCAAGTAACACTGCTACTGCTTCTTGTTCATCCAACAGGATGGATCTGGCTTGTAGGCTGGGGGTTGAGCACCGCTGCTGTAAAGCATCTGCTCCTTGCCACTGTCAATGACAGGATCCTGGGCTAGATGAACCATTGATCTGGCACAGTATGGTACTTCTTAACAAGAAACTAGGCTTAAGTCAGAGATGTGCCTTGAAACATTTAAGAAAAATAAGTAAAAAATCAAAGTCTTTGAGTGGTGGTTTCCCAAATATATATATTTTTCCACCTGAAATCTCTCTTAACTTTATTAACAGAGCTCCAACATGTTTGATAAAATGGTTTTGTTTTCCCGATGTGTCCATCTTAAATGTTTAGTTTCCATAAGGAATCTTGTCTTCTAAAACTGGTATTTTTATATTCTTACTCCCTACTAATCTATTCTTTTCTCTATCATTTAAAAATATGTTAATGGTTGTTCATTCTACTTTGCATTTTCATGTTCTTAGGGGAAATGCTTTTCTTAGAAAACTGAGTTGCTAGCAGCTAAAATCAGATGATTTTGTCTTGCCCAGTATTTTACTCTGCTAGTAATATTGTTGAAAGGTTGACAGACTTCAGCTGGGAATCATTAGTTCATATAAATTAAAAGTACCAAATGGTTCTTGAAGCTTTTTGCCTGCTTTTGTCCTTTAGTTCTCAATGACATTACTTACCATTGCATAGTTGATTCTCTACTCTGTTTAATTGAATAGGCAAGAGGTAAAGGAGAAAAGGACAGTGTGGTTTTAAAATATGTACTTAGAATAAGAGCAGTTTTAAGTGTTATGCTTGTCCATTAATCCCTTAAAACTACCATCCAGGTTTCTCTTGGTTAGTCTCCAGCACACTGTCTCCTTGACTATTCAGGCTAATTTATCAGGGAGACTCTCGCTCTCTCTCTTGCTGTCTCACTTTCTCGCTCTCTCTCCTACTTTAAGATCGAAACATCTGCAGTTTTAGCCAGAACAATATAGCTCAAGAAAATAAGGGGTTATAAAGAATGAGTTGACCCAACTTCATTATTTTTTCCCCTGCCAGGTTATAAATAATGCTTGTGCTACTCAAGCCATAGTAAGTGTGCTATTAAACTGTACCCATCAAGATATCCATCTGGGAGAGACACTATCAGAATTTAAAGAATTTTCACAAAGTTTTGATGCAGCGGTAAGTAAAATTAATTTTTGGATTTCCACTCTTCTGACTTGAATGTTTGACTTATATTTTTATTTTTTATTACTTTTATGTTAAAGATGAAGGGTTTGGCACTAAGCAACTCTGAAGTGATTCGGCAGGTTCACAACAGTTTTGCCAGGTAGTAATTAAAAAAAAAAACAACACATTAATAATTTCTGGATTTTGTGTGCATTTTTTTCAGCTTTGTCTTTTACTTATGTTTACAGACAACAGATGTTTGAGTTCGATGCAAAGTCTTCAGCAAAAGAAGAAGATGCATTTCACTTCGTAAGCTATGTTCCTGTTAATGGAAGGTTGTATGAGCTAGATGGACTTAGGGAAGGGCCAATTGATTTAGGTAATGTTTTATTTCACTGAACCTAATTTACATATCTGACCAACTTGTAATTTAGCACTACTTTTATGGTAATAAATTTGTTATCCAACTAGTGACCATAAAAAATTATCTTGTCTGCAAGAGAGAGCATATAATTCTTGTTAATACTTTTTGATATTTTAGTTAATTTCTAAGGTACCACATTGCTGTGCCTTCTATCTAGATACATTTGCAGTCTTGTACTTCGGTTTTATCTTTGATCTTAAATCCCAGTGTTTTCTAATAATATTTCGTTCAGGCTTCCAGGGATCCTTAATGAGAGAGACGGACGACATGATAAAATAAACAGATTATCAGCATATCCCAAAACTTTGGGGAGGCTATTTAAATTTTCCTCTCTTAAGAATGATCTCCCAACTTTTCCATAGTCATGGTACTTTTTTCCAGGGATACTGCATCTCCCTGCCCTAATCCCGTATTGACAATGAGTGGGGCATTTCATTCCTTTTTCTTATACTGTTTTGAATCACAAACTGCAGTAGGCAGCCTAATAATTTTATCAAGGATTCCAAGCTTTTCTGGGTCATAAGTTATCCTATCATTTGTTTTCTTAAGATGCATAAAATATATGCATGCATTCTTATCACATTTGCATCTTCTTTTTTTCCAACTGGTTCACAGGTATTAGTAACTTACGGTAGTAGTTTATATTTAGTAATTGTCTTCCCACAGAGGAAACTGAAGGAGAATGTCAGTGCAGCTCCTGGAAAAATAATTCTTTGTGGACCAAATATTTTAGGGCTTAGGGCTGGAAATATTTAGAAGCGTAGGGCTGGAAGGGACCTCATGAGATCATTGGGTTCATCCTGTTAAGAAATTTAAAATATTTGGTCCACAAAGAATTATTTTTTCAGGAGCTGCACTGACATTCTCCTTCAGTTTCCTCTGTGGGAAGACAATTACTAAATATAAAGTATCAAAAAATAAGTTCTTGATTTCCATTTTGGCCCTGGATGGATCTACTCTTTGAAACACTCCAGTTACCTTTGAAGTGCTCCAAATAGTGAGCGTGCAGACATACATGGCTGAAGTGCTTCAAAAATGCTTTTAAAAAAAGGAGAAACATTTTTGAAGTGCTTCCTGAGTATCTGTATGCTTCAGCTCTCCTTCAGCATCCCTAAGGGCACCTATACAGCAGTGCAGAGGCTGCTCTGACATTGGAATTTCAGTGTGTCAGAGCGACTCAATTAATCTTGCAAAGTGTGGCAATTGCTGCACTTCAGCAGCCTCCTGCGTCTTGTGTATCAGCATCCCCATGCTTAAAAATGACGGTGGAGGCACCTGAGCTAAAAGCTTGTTGAACAAGCTTTAGTTCAAGCACCCCCAGTACCATTTTCAAGTGCGGGGACACTGATACAGAAGATGTGGAGGCGCTTTAATTAGAGTGGCTCTTGGAGCTACTCTAATTAAACTGCTGCCCCCGACACCCCTGGAGCATGTGTAAAAGTGCCCTAAGTGTTCTGTTTCCTCCCTGCCCTCCCCCCACCTCCCTCCTTTCCTCTCTGACTAGGAGAGTTGCGAGTGAGTATGGTGGACAGCCAGTGAGCATTTTCATGTGCACTTGAGAACCTCTAGAGATCAAGAGAGGCTCCTGGTTTCTCTTATGTCATGTGATCCCTTAAATTTTATTAAGGTAGAAGAGTGAAATATTAAACTTCCAGTAAAAGCACACGTTTTATTCTGAAGGATCCGTATGTTCATGTATAATTTTTTTTTTTAAACAAAACTTACAAACATGACTCTACAAACATCTATGAATCTATGACTCCTTCATTTTGCAGTCAAACTTGCTCGTCTCACCTGAAGCACAGAGACTCCCTGTCAGCGTAAATTTCTGTTGTTGTAGATCAGTGGTGCTCAACTTTTGGATGGGCAGTGCCTAGGCTATTTATGGGCCAGAATGAACTGATGGTTCCGATCCAGCATGGGGCAGTCACCACAGGGCCGCATCCAGCTCCAACCTGGGCCTGCAGGGGAGAGCGAGGTGTCGGGGCCAAGCCCTGCGAGGGAAAGGGATATGGCCCAACCTAAACGTGGCCCCATGGTGGCCATGTCCCCCAGCCTCAGTCCCACTTAGGGGGTGGGGAGCCATGGCTCAGCCCAATGGAAGAAGAGGGACATGGCTCAGCCCCACATGGGGTTTGGGGGGGGAATGGGGTTTGAGCAGAGCCGGCTCCAACCCAGCCCTATGGGAAAAGGGGGCATGGCCCAGCCCCATCCTACCTAGGGAAAGGGATGTGGCCTGGCCTCATTCAGGTGTGGGAGTGGGGGGAGGGGGTGTGACCTGGCCCCAACCTGCTGCAAGCGACTCAGGGTTTGAGAATTTGGCAGTGGGGGAGTGTGACTGTATTGATTGCCACCACTCCCCTTGCTGCCAAATGTCCTGGTCCATGGGGAACCCTGTGGGCTGCATGTGTATGCCGCATTTGACCCATGGACCAGGGGTTGAGTACCTCTGTCATAGATCAAACTACAGAGTCCAGGTGTATACATGTAATAGTTGTTCAGCTTATCTCAATAGCAAAGGAGTACACTGTCTAGCCTCATAGGACAGGAGGCAAAGAATGATGTATGCCAGGGGTCGGCAGCCCTCAGGCCAGATCCAGTCCATGGCTTAAAGGTTGGCAGCCCCTGAAACGATGAGTGGGATTTAGATACCAAAATTGAATTGCTATAGTTAAAACTTGATTCAGCTGCAGAACAAAAAGAAAACTCGGGGTGTAATTAATGACTTCAATAGAACAGGATTTTTATTTAATCTACTCTTTGGGAGAAATTGGTGCTGATTCAAAGGAGAGTGCCACTTAACTAGTATTTCATTCCCTTCTTATACTCTGGAGGCATTTTTAAATCACAAAGATTAGGGTAGAGGTTGTGCCTTCAAACCTGCAACTGACTTTTTCTGACTTTTCATGAGATATTTAACTTCTCTGCCATGTTTTCTGCCTCTTTGAGAATGAAGAAAAGGCCTAGCTCACATGGATAAATATAATGTCCACATATTATATCATCTTCAAAGCACGTTGCAAATATTGTTTTGTTCAAACATAACAATTGAAAAGCAGGAAACATCATTTTAATTTCACAAGGGCTTGCAGAGTCAGAATTACTGAGGAGAAATTGCTAGATAAATTTCTGTGTGCTTATTTTTGATTACTTTTTCCCATTTGTAAAACCAGATCTATACCTCACATGCAAAAAGACTCATGCTTTTTTAGTGTTAGAACTTTTTCTCCCCTTTTAAAAATCTTCTCTAGCTCAGTTGCATTCCCCAATACAGTGTAAAAATATTACTCAAAGCTTTAAAAATTAATAACAAGTACCAATACTTATCTTCCTATATTTAAAAAGAGGTAGATCTTTTATCTGTCTCTAAAAATGTCACTTTGAACAGTTGAGCTTTGTTATTCTCCAGAAAAATATATTCTGGTACTACCTGCAGGGGGATATCTTAGGGGCCTGAATAACTTGAAATAGTATTACATTTTGTGGTGATGCTGATTTTTGCCTTTTCATATATTTTACCTAGGTGCATGCAATCAAGATGACTGGATCAGTGCTGTAAGACCTGTCATAGAGAAACGAATACAAAAGTAAGCAATCATGACTTTAAAAAACACACACACACACACACACACACACACACAACTAGCTTTCTAATTGTAAAGACACTATTGTCATTTTTTGTGTTACATTTGTATGCCCATCAATTTTCTTAATTTCAACTCTTGACCACAAATAACATCTTCAAAAATGTTGGTAGAAGTTATTAGTAGAAACTGTGTTGGCCATGTTAGTTATGGGGTTGTTCCAAAAGGAGTCGTCACCTCTAAAACACTTCTGTTTGGAAAAGCAGTTGCCTAACGGCTAAATTGTATAAGTAAATAAATTAATATATAACCCCATTTGAGAAAATAAACTTTGGCACAAATGCTGACAAAAGGTAATGTTGGGCTATTTGCCATTTTTGCATTTGTGTATCTCGGCATAATAATCTATTATGTGATTTTAAGTGGTGAGATCTTTGATGAAGGGAACTTGGTTGGGTGGGAGGGGACAGATGAGTAATATTTCTGAGGTTTGTAAATCTGTAATTTTGAAATGCATGTTCTCCTTTTAGATATAGTGAAGGTGAGATAAGGTTTAACCTAATGGCCATTGTGTCAGACAGAAAAATGATATATGAACAGAAGATAGCAGAATTACAGCGGCAACTTGCAGAGGTAGGCCATGGTAGTTAAATTAATGCACTAGTTACAAATATTGCAAAGACTGGTGATGCTGTGGAACTTCCTAAATAGGTTAGTGTTTATCTTACCACTACCCATTTATATTCCAAATCCTGCCAATCATTTCTCTTTCC